TGATGGCTCCCACTCTAAAATTTTAAGTTTGTGCATCACACACTATGGCTACACCTTATATCCACTGGCTCCCATGGGCCCATGGGCAACTGTGTCTGTCTCCATAATTATTAGGCAGCATGGCAGTTTGCCCAGTCACATTTTTCACTGTATTCTGTTCTCCATATTCTCTCCTTATTTATAGTTTCCATGCATAGGGCTGCCTTTTACAAAGTAACACAAACTGGCTGGCCTCAAACAATGCCAAGTTATTGTCTCACAGTTCTGAAAACTAGAAAATTCAGTATCAAGATGTTGTTGGCAGAACCATGCTCCCTCCGGAACTTGCAGAGGAGAATCCTTCCTTGCCTATAGAGCTATTGGTGCTTGCTGGTGATCCTTGCAAGTGCGCTGCTCCAATCTCTGCCTCCGTGGGTACATGGTGGTCTTCTCCCTGTATGTTTTCACATTGTCTTTCCTTCTTTACATGTCTCTGTGTCCAAATTTTCCCATCTTATCATTACTGGATCATATGGTACAAGGATGCTTACTTTTGTAAGAAACCACCAAACTGCCATTTTGAATGCCAGTGAGTGAAGAACAAGAGGTCTTGTTGCTCCACATCCTTGTCAGCATTTGCTATTGTAAGTGTATTGCTTCTTTTCCTTATTTACTTAGAGAATTCTTAGGTCAGGAGTTGGGGATAGTGTAAATTTGCCCTGGTTTGGTCTACAAAGCAACAGAAGAGAGTAAAAAGTAGGTAGGTGTTGATGTCATATGGAATTTAGTTTGAATTCTATTTCTATCACTTAATTAGTATGTGAATTTTGTTATTTTTAATCTTCAGTTAAATTGTTCTCAAATTAATGAGAAGTTATGTTATTGAGAGTTTATACATATGGTGCAAATAATACTCTAGGCAAAGAGTAAAAGAGTATTGTATTTATCCTTTGCTTTCTTATCCTTGTATTTCTGGTCATGTGGTCATTCCCTGCTCTCTTTAGGGTCCAATGCTTCAGCCACATCTGACTGATAGTTTACCTACAGTAGTGTCAGTTACTAATTGCCAGAGATTCCCCATCTGTCTGTAACACTCTATTGTTTTCAGTTTTTAAATATTTTAGCCTTACAGAAAATATATTATAAGAATATACTAAAAAATACCTGATTCGATAGCTCTGTCAAATCCTGATACTATTATTATTATTATTGTTTAATTTTTTATTTTTTGGGAGCATTGCACCATTCTTGGAGGTCCTGCTGTACCAGGTCGATGTGCAGAGTAGACAGAGCAAGCTCCTATTTCATCTCCCTGCTCTGAAAATCCATTTAATATATTGTCCTCAGATAGATGATGCATCAGATAGTAAACTGATAAGAACAGATACTACACTGGATCTTAGCCAAAAGGCCAAAAAGTGATGTATGTTATGATTATTTAATTTTAATTTATTATTTAATCTATAAACTATTGTTTTAACTCCATGAGTCCTTTCTCTATGTTGTATACAGTTTCTACAATTCTCAAACATATTTTGATGCTACTATAATACATGTCTATATCCCAAAACAATAGCATTTTTCACAGTTCAAATTTAATAAAGATATCACATTCTAAGTATAAGTATACACCTTGTTTTTTAGACCTGCCATTATGCTTTTAGGCTTATTACTATTGATACAATAATTTTGATTCATTTATTTTGATTACTGTATTTACTTTTGTGAGTATGCCACTTAGCAGTAACCACCATTCTAACAAAATCTTATTTCCCCATTAATTCTGGTTTCCCATATATATATCATCATCCTAGGAATTTACTTCACTTCTCACCTATGTTGGAGCCCTTGTTGTCTCCATTTCCATGTCTTGCCCATTCCTGACTTCTTTATACTCATTTCAGCAAGTAGCACACAACATATCTATAGTATCATGTATATTATATAATAATATGTATTTCTACTTATTCTTTATATAAGATCTCTTTAGAATTCTAGATTGGAAATACTCTTCCCCCAGAATTGTTCCATTTTCTCTAGCTTCCTTTGTATCAGGAAGTCATTTAATTAATAAATTTGAATACACATTCCCCCCTTATCTATGGTTTTTCTTCCCACAGTTTCAGGTTCCTTCAGTCAAGCGTGGCCTGGAAGAAGATGATCTTCCTCCTGCATATCATCAGAAGGTCATAGTGGCCTAGCGCTATGTCACAGCACCTACATCACTCACTTTGGTTCATCTTATCACCAAGGCATTTCATCATCTCATATCACAAGAAGGGAGAGTGCACATGAGGTATTTTGAGAGAGGCAGTGTTCACATGACTTTCATTGCAGCATATTGTTATAATTGTTCTGTTTAATTATTATTGTTAATTTCTTACTGTGCATAATTTATACATTAAACTTTATCCTAGATATGTATGTATAAGAAAAAAACATAATTACATACAGGGTTCAGGGCTATTTGTGGTTCCAGGCATCCACTGGGAGTCTTGGAACATATCTCCCACATATAATGGAAACTACCACACTTGATTAAGTAAAACATTTTATAAGACTATTTGAATTATAAAAATGACTCAATAAACATTAATATATAACATCAACTTGTCTTCTATATAAAAATAACCAATTAGGTCATATAATGAAAAAACCCATTCATATAAACAGAAAAAATATAAACTTAAAACAGGAATATTCTAAAGAAAAATGCCTATATGAATAAAATTTACAATAATGGTTGAGGAATTTGTTTTTAAAAATGAAGAGATTACATATTATTGTATTAATGCCTTCCAAAATAGCTGTTTTTCACTCCAGTTTACCATCCCTGTTGAGTATTAATTTGGGTTGTGTTTGTCACTCATCAATGTGTTACTAATAATTTGTGAGTGGTGTGGTTTACCATTTTGTTTACTTCCTTTCTTAATTTTTCTATAGCTTTTGAATTTTCAGTCTTGTGTATTATTTTCACATTAAGAAGTATTTTGAACTGAACAACGAAGGCAACATCATTCACCCACAGTGGTAACATCTAAGTCATCCAGGACAAAATTTTTAGTATTTTCTTTAAAATACAACAAAGGATGATTTTGGAATTTCCTTTCTATGTTAGTATAGTGTCTGATTTATTTTGTCCTGTTATTTTTAATCCTACTTTCTTATATAAATATGTCAATTTTCTTTTGTTAATTTATTAATATACATCTTTCTTCCCTTATAAATATAAACGTTTATTTATTTATTTTTGCTTATAATTTTTTCTATTCCATGTGTCACATTATTTGAGCTATTGTTGAACATCTCTAGCTATGCATGCAACTCCTTACCTCCATGAAATTCTTATAACATGGAAGGCAGACTATATCTTCCTTTTGAAAACAGACTAACTTGAAAGAGGTGTGTTTATCATTCTTTAAAGGAATAATAGTGTTTTAAATTCCTGAAATGAATTTTCCACTTAAACTTCTCTTTCATTAATCATTTTTAAAATTACAGTATCATTTAGGAATACAAATCCAGAGATATTTACATTGTCTGTGTTTTCACTTTTCAGCTTCTTCACAACTGAGGCTAATTACATTCTTATGATTGATTTTTGATAAAAGTAGACCATTTTCAAATCCTACAATACATTGAATGTAACAGTGGGGTATTTTGCTACTAATCATTTACAAAAAAAAATTTTTCTAAATTAAAAATAAATCCATGCCCGTTGAGTCTTTTGAAACAATAGAAAAGAGTATATAGTCAAGTAATCATCCATGATGATCTCTCCACTTGAAGCAGTCTGTTAACATAGTTATATATTTTTTCTGTCTATCCTTCATCTATACTACATATTTTTATTTTTTTAAAACACTAAGCTAATTTTGTATATAAGGTTTTGCATACTAATTTTTTCTCCTTCAGTAGACATCATATTGTGAGTAATTATCTCCTTTCAATTTCCTTAATCTCCCACAAAGGGAATATTGATGAGTCTCATATTCCATCCTTTTGATATTGCTAAACAGCCAAAATTGCTAGGAAATTTGAAAAGAGGCAAGGTAAACTTTACTTGAGAGGGAAGGTGGGAGACAAAGAATAAGAGAGAGAGAGGAGGAGGAGGATGGGGAGAAGAAATTAGGCTAACAGTTGGAGTCTTTTGAGGAGTATAATGAGGTTCAGAAAAACAATGGCTTAATATCTTCAAAACAAAACAAAAAGTAACTCTCACCAACCAATTATACTTCAAAGATGAAAAAGTATTGTTAGTAACACTGAACAACCTCAGTGTTGCAGGTACTTGTAATAATAACAAATTGAATTGTAGCTTCCACAATTTGTTATAAACATTTTCTCAATTATTTTAAAGTGGTGCATAGAAAGTTTTGTTAGCAGATGTGTGACAGCTACATAAAAACACCTTTTGTCATGCATTAGACTTTTCTTTGACCTCTCCATCCTTTTCTTGACCCAGTCTGAAAAGTTAAGCACACAAAAAAGAGTATCATACATACTCAGAGTCCTTCACAAGTGTTTTACATCTGCAACCCACAGTAGCTTTGCAATTCTTCCTCATACACATAGTGAGCTCCATGTTCTTTGTGTTAGTAATAAAAAAATTATTTCTATACCAATATTTTTTAGACACATGCTTTAAATATAATTAACCCTTGCTGCTGGGCAATTATGAACATGTTCTGAGAAGCATATACTTTAATGATCTTTTTATTTTTAAATGCAATCCTTGGACTCTTTCTGAACTTTTATTTGGGGAAACATGTTTTTGTTTTCTATTTTATCAATATTGAAATCAGTTCAGTTAATTTTTTACAAAATGACTTTTTATTAATTACTTAAAAATAGTGTTTTTTGAATTATTGTCCTCACTTTTAAAGTAAATTTAAAGATCTTATTAAAATATTTCACTATTAAAATAATTTAATTCAAAATTTAAGCATGACATCTTAGGACAAGGTAAAAGGAAAATCAGGGAGACATTTTTAATAATGGGTTTTAGTCCTGAATTATGCAAATTTAACAAGTTTAGGTAACTATACTCATATTACCTCTGATTAATATATAATCAATATTATTTAGTATCTGTTTTTCAAAAAATTCTATAAGAAAAGATCAAATATTTACAATTTGGGGGGTATATTATATCAGAATAAATTTAAATTTAAATATAATTATAATATAAACCTTAAAAGTAAGTCAAAGTATGATTTTACAATTATGAATTTACTATGTGCTAGCATTATGTTAGGCAAGATGCAAATATATCTGGGTGATGAATACATGATATATAGGTAGTTAAAGGAAATGACTAAAATAATTGAATGTTAGTATAGAAGAATCCTTCAAAGGTTTTTCTTTAAAAAAAATGGTTTATGCCTCTAGCTATAACTTATCTATTTCATCTAAGATAGGTAATCATCTTTCTAATTTTAAATGGATCAAATTCTACATACACATTCAATTTCTGTATCATGCAACATTGATCTATAGTGTAAAGGTTTTTAAATTTTTTCCTCTAATTTATAAATTCCACTGAATGAAAACCTTAAGATGTTATTTTATAGTTATCACTATATTTCTAGTCCAAATAATTCTCTAATTCTCCATGTATTTTTACTAATAAAATGTTATAGCTATACATTTATATAAATTTATCTATGTATTTATGTACTTGAAAAAAATAACCAGTTGGTTGGTTGGTTTTATTTTTTTTCATTTTCCCTACACAAGAAAAGTGTTTATCCCATAACACTGTGGTAATGATGATTAGTTCTCCATTGACAACTGATTAAATAAGACAGATTCAAGCAGAAGAGAGATTTCAGAAAAACCCTGTGTTTGACAGTGTGTCTTACTCTTATCTGTACCCTCACAAGAACGAAGTAGATGTTGGATGTCTAGTAAGTACACAAGTACCAAGGTGCTTAAAAATGCTTAAAAATCAAATAAGTTGATGTTGAGCTTATGTTTAAAGAGAATATATAATGGAATAAGGGAAAAGAGTATGCAGTCTCCTTCCATGTGCACTTATTCATTATTCACAGAAATTCATTAAACTTCTATCATGTGTCATTGTGGACAGAGGGGTGAATAAGACAGAAAAAAAATTAATATCCATCCCATATATTAAGTGGTAAAAGTTGATATGTAGAAAAGTAAGTCAGGGCAAAGGAAGAAATGTTGATAAAGCTTTTTAGCTCATGTTTTCATGAACGTATATATGTGTACGTGCATACATGCACACTTCGATGATGGATTATATATTCTTTGATATGACTGTGGTGTTTCTATTATAAAAATAGCTGTTCCATCTTTATGCTATTCTCTTATATTGTCCAGTTCCAGTCTGGAGAGAGGTCAAACATTCATTTGAGGAATAGCCAATGGTTCTAAATTTCTAACCTACTAAGAATC